ATTCATAAAATTTTTAAATTTTAAATTCAATCATACGTTTTATATTATTATTATTATTATTATTATTATTATTATTATTATTATTATTATTATAAAATAATCATATACACACGTGTGTGTCCATCACTTCTTGTATCTTTAAATTCAAGTCTTGCAAAGTTGTTACAAGTCTCTTTAGTGTCATCTAGGTTGGAGAGATTTTCCATACAGTTTAGGTGACGGCCAGGGTCTAATTCGACCCTTATGCCTTGATTGATTAACCTTATTTTGATCTATCACTTAGAAATTTAGAATCTTATTCCTAATTGTTTTGTTATAGAGATGACCATTGATGTTTTGGGTTGCATGCTTATGAGTAACTTGGGCAAATCGGAATGCGATCGATCGCACTTCCTTGATCAATTCACAAAGATAGATTGTGTAATTTGAGTAGTAACTAGCAATCACTAGGGCATGTCAAGTACTTTAAATCTCAAAATTTTAGTAGTTAACGATTGAAAGGGAATCGATCACAAGAGCGATCAATTGCATTTGTTAAGATAAGTGCAATCGATTGACTTATCGTACAAACTTAAATTTGAGATTTTCTTTCTCTCTCATTCCACTTTCTCACATTCTCAACTGAAATTCCCTCTTACTTCTCTCTACTTTCTCTCTCTAAAAATTTGTGTTTTTAACTCCATTGAAACCTTAATCTAAGGCTCATAGAGTGGGTATTTGACAAAAACTCAAGAATAAATGTAGTAGAACACATTAAGAGAGCTATTTTTTATCTGAATGGATTTTTTATTTGATCACATTTGATATCCTAAGGTTTTACCCTTCATTGAGGTAGAGATTTATTGTTTATGTTTAATACGAGTTGGATTGTAGATATGTTGTAGTATTTTTAGAAAAAAATGTTAGAAATTTTGCATGTATTGCATGAAAAGCTAGGGTTTGTACCATGTTAAAAATTTTATTTATCATTATTTCAATAAAGACACATGATAAGATAAATAAATTTAGTATTTATTTGGGATAAACTTTTTTAATTTAATTTAATTTTTTGACTATATTAATCTGACTAAAAAAATTTTATTTGAGATATATTTTTGATTTTTTTTAATAGTTGATTTGATGGTTGTAAAAAAAAATAAAATGATTATAATTTGAATATGACATTTTGTCTCATTTTGACTTTTTAACTTATTTTATCTTTTTATATGCTAAATTAGCCCAACCCATTTGCCAAACAACCCCTAATTTTTTTGATATAGTACATATGATAAACAAATTAAACAAAAAAATTTGGGGGCTCGACTAACGACATCATTAAACCGGAAAATTCTATCATACAAAAAAGTAGTTTTGAGGTATGGTACATGAATAAATATTCACCATTGGATTTGGATAAGGGACCATTTTAATCATTGATGAGTAAATAATTAATATTTAGTTGGAAAACCAAGTAGATTCCCACAAACAAGGTAGCTTTGAGTATTTTTAATAAAATATTTATAAAATTAGCGTATTATTGCAACATGTCACACTGACTATTTACTATAAGAGAACTTACTATTGTACAAACTCATACTTACTATTGAAAATGACATCTTCAAGAGATTATTGGTTCAAAAGGTAACAAGTAATACTTTGAAATTTGTGCTAACCTAATAACATACTATATTGGCTACTTTCACTCTACATTTTGTATAAAAATTTTAATTATTTTTTAAAACAACTACTTTCACTCCACATTTTGTTTATTTTTTAACGCGCTATAAGATCTACCAAGGAAGATCTCTCATTTATAAATATACTTAGGAATATCTCTTATTTATCAACATTCATTATTGGCAATAAATGAACACATTTACAAAAAAAAATACTTTCCTTTACTTACCACAACATGAACAACATTTATTAATGACAATAATTAAATACATCTAAATTAGTTAATTAGAAAAATATATAGGAGACCCCACAATTCATTTGCACACACTATGAACAATAATGATTTTCTCTATAATTTTTTAACAAAAGATAACTGAAAGAGGGTGATTTAATTTTTACAAATTTAAGAGAGTCTCCATGTATGAATCTATGTATGTTACTATCTATGTTTTATTTTAACTTATGTGATATTTTTAATTTATAAATTTTAAGGTTTTGTTGGAATAACATTTCACCTAATTAAAGAAAAAAAATCATCGAATAGTAAGTGGAGCTTCATTAAGTAGTAAATCGAGTTTAATTAAGTAGTAAGCGAAATCTAATAAATTAGTAAGTTAAGTTTGATGAAGTAGTAAGTAGAGTATCAATGAGTAGTAAGTAGAGTCTCATTAAATAGTAAGTGGTGTTTAATTTAGTAGTAAGCAAAGTCTAATGAAATAGTAAGTAGAGTCTCATTAAGTAGTAAGTGAGATTTAATTGAGTCGTAAGTTACCCAGTCATTAAGTTGTAAGTGAGATTTAATTGAGTAGTAAATCAAGTCAAATTAAATGGTGTCTTACTAAGTACTAAGTTAAGTCTAATAAATTTTTACATTTTCACATTTTGTTTAAAATTCATATTTCTTGTGTTAATAATTTGAAATTCATATTTATATTTATTATTGACCAATCATTGAGTTGATGATTTACTAAGTTATTCTTACAACATTTTGCGACTCAACTTACCACTTACTAGTTTACCACTTAGTAAGTAAAGTGTCAATGAGTAGTAAGTAGAGTCTCATTATAATAGAAATAAGGTTTAATTTAGTAGTAAGTGAAGTGTAATGAAATATTAAGTGGAAGATTATTGAGTTGTAAGTAAAGTATAATGAAGTACTAAGTGGAAGCTCATTACATAGTACGTACGATTTATTTGATTAGTAAGTGAAATCTAATGCAATAATAAGTGGAGTCTCATTAACTAATTGTAATATCACTTACTATTTGGTTTGATCTAATTAATTTTATTATACTTACGAAAGATGGAAGACAACATTGGGCATAACAACATTGTATATGAATTACATAACGGTGGTGCTACATGCACCAATTGGTATATCAATTAGTGTACCAACATATATTATGAAATTATTACTAACCCCACCTATCATATAAATTACAAATACCCAAAACTCTAAAATTATGTCACATCATCTGTTAATATACTAATTGGTATACCAATTGGTGCATTTAGTATTATTCATTACATAATGATGATGATGATGATATTGGCACTGGTGAGTACAACTTGGCAATCAAGAGAATATTGTTAATTCTGATGATCTCTCAACCGAAAGAGATGTTAACTGTATAGATCAACTAAGTGAAAAGAATATATTTGAATTGACATTAGATTCGATAGAAAGTGAAAAAAGTTTCTATAATATGTATGCAAAGGTGAAAGGTTTTAGTATTAGAAGAGATTACTTGTATAAGGACAAGAGTAATTTGACTTTATTGAGGAGATGGGTGTGCTCAAAGAAGGGCATCAACAATCTAAATACCTTAAGGTGGAAGATCATAAAAGAGAATCGAAACGATTAACTAGAGTTGTCATGCATCCTTTAATATCAAATACAATCCAAATATTTGCAAATATGAAGTGATTGAGTTTGTTAAAGGGCAAAACCATTCCATGATAGGGCCTCTAGTGAAGTAATAAGTGGAAGTTTATTGAATAATAAGTAAAACTAAAATTAAGTAGTAAATGAAGTGTAATGAAATAATAAGTGAAAATTGATCGAGTAGTAAGTGGAAACTCATTCACTAGTAAGTGGAGTCTGGTGAAATAGTAAATGAAAGCTCATTGAATAGTAATTAGAGTGTAATGAAATAGTAACTAAAAACTCATTGAGTAATAAGTGGAGTCTCGTGAAGTAGTAAGTGAAACCAAAATTAAGTAGTAAGTGAAATGTAATGAAATATTAAATAGAAGCTGATTGAGTAGTAAGTAGAGTCTAGTGAGGCTTAATTGATTAGTATGCTAAGTCTAATAAAATAGTAAGTAAAAACTTATTAAGTAGTAAATGAGATTTAATTGATTAATAAGTCAAATCTAATGAAGGAAAATTTAAAGGATCAACAAATAACAAAGTTTAATTAAGTAAAGTTTCATTGAGTAGTTAGTACGATTTAATTAAATAATAAATGAATTTAATTGTTAGTAATGAATAATGAATAAAAATAGTAAGTAGTTAGTAATGAATAGTGAATAAAAATGCAAATAAACAACAAAGTATGTCAAATTTATTTAATTGTTTTTTATTGTGTATAAAATAATTTTAAAAAAAATTAAGATTGAATATATTAATTTAATTTCAGAAAATTTCTCTACCAGTCCAATCTAATTAAAAACTTACAATTCAAAAGAAAATTTAAAGGATCAACAAATAGTACATTCCGGCCAATTATTTGCTCGCAAAGAAAAAATTACACAAAACTTTTTTAATCTTTTAAGAAAAAAAAAATTAAAATATTTAAATCTCGTTTAAATTAAAATTTTCTTTTCATTGCAAGAACAAAACTGAGTTAGTTGTTAAGGGGAAATTACTAAACAGTGGAAGGTGGAGAAAATAATTACCAATGGATGTGGGATGTAACTTTTTCGATAAAAAAAATTCACGTAAAAAATTACACTCCAACTATTTATAGTAGATTAGGTTAGAAATACGAAATGATTTTTTAAATTTTCTATCAAACCTCTTATATAGATGTAAGACTTACACAATCATGTGAGTGATTTGATAAAAAATTTGATAAATCATTTACAATCATATGAAAAGTTTGATCAAACAATTATTAAATCATTTGAGATTCATAACATTTTTCTTTTAAAATTATTTTGAGTTCGGTAGGCTAAATGGTAATTTTCCCAATTGTAAATTCATTTGACAACTACGTAATCACACACCATATTATCTGAGAGTTTTTGGGGAATGATTTTCCACCGGTTATAACCGGTTAACAATTTGAGCAATGGACCGTTTAGATTCCGTCCCAAATCTAACGGCTGAAAATAAGTTTCATGTATGGTACACAAGTACTTCTTTCGGTACCACAGTCGGACCCCATTAAACCCGGCGAGCAATTCATCAAAGCAAAGCTTGTCTGTCTGTCTTTGTTTGTCTCGCAATCAGCCACCACTGTAAAAGTGAATCGAAGATCACTTTACTTTGACGCCCAGTGGCTCTCCAAACTTCAATCGCCTCTCGGCAGTTCATCAACGCAGTGGATTGTTGTCTGCACTAATTTCAAACATTTGGTAAGGAACCATATGAAAAAAAATTGGTAAACACAGCTTTATTGCTTGTGTGTTTTGTTTTTCTTCTTCTTCTTTTTGTGTTTCTTATGGGACGACTAATAGTTGGATTTGGATTTGGATTTGAATAGTTAAAACGAATTGAATGCTTTTGAACTTTTTAATTTAGAGCACTGAAACAAACTGTATGTTGTTGCATTTATGATGTTCGATAAAATGCCTGATTGAGACATTGGGCTAACTTGAACTTGCTTCGATCTTTTCTTTGTTCCCATTCACTTTGATATTCTTGTATAATCATTGGCGAACTTGAATTAAGTACTGGGTTAGGGAAGAAGATGTACAATGATCAACTTGGGAATTGGGTTTCAAAGTTTTTGAACTTTAGTCAGTCTTTGGTCCTTGTTATGGACAACATCAGTTTAAAAAACTTGCATAGTGATTAGAAAAGTTATCCATATATGATATACATCATTTCGTTTTACTCCTACGAAGTAGATACGTAAATTAAATTCTACCCCATGACATGTATATAATATACTTGAAAAGAAACATTTCTGCATATTCATTCATATGATTTACTTATCGAAGAGACATAATTTATGATAAAGGGTTAATTACACCAAGACTCTTCAACTAGTAATGAATATCTCTTTACCTCTTATATGTAAACCCATACATTTTGAAAACTGTAAAAATGGCCCCTTCTGGAGGGTGGAACCATGGAAGTGATTCATTTCATAGTTGAAGGGATCAACCTGTGGGATATCATCACCCCATGTGAGAGGTGATTCTCCATGTGAAGAAGGAGTTGGCAATGTGCAAAGCCAACACACACATGAGCTGCCATGTTAGCCAACCTTTGGCCATGTGAAGCCAACATACAAGAGAGTTGGCACAAGCTGGCCATGTGCTGGCCAGCCCCTCTTCATCTCCTATTCTGTTAGTGTATAAATGGAGGCTGAGGGGAGAGTTTAATTGAGAGAGAGTGAGAGCAGAGCAAGCCACAGAGAGTGAGATATGTGAGGCGGAGAGACCGTCTCCCTCGGTGTGAGCGAGGGAGATGGGTGAGTGTGTGAGTGAGGAAAGTGTGAGCTCCTCCTCTATTGTAATCTTTCTGTAATATCTCCATTGTTATAGTGATAACCGGCTACTCTCCCGTGGACGTAAGCATTGAGGCCGAACCACGTTAAATATTGTGTCTCTTTGAGTGTGGGTGTGTTTTTTTGCTTGGTATAATTTCTATAAGGTCTTGGGCGAGATCCCAGATCCCAACAAGTGGTATCAGAGCCTCGTTGGTGGCGTTTCGGAACAAAAACAGCGTGTTGTTTGAAACTGCCCAGAAATCAAGTTGCTCGAAATCAGATTTTGAGCATACCAGGAGCAAGAGCTCGAGAAGAGGAGTCCAACCATATAAAGCAGACACCCAACGGAGGCCGGACGCGCCCTCACGCGCCCCTGGAAGAAGGCGCGTGAGGCCCAGTCTCTGCACGCGCCCTCACGCGCCGTGAAGGCTGTCGGCGCGTCGGACCAGTCTCACCCACGCGCCCCACGCGCGGACGAAGGAAGAAGGTGAGTGGGAGCAGCGCGTGTCCACGACGCGCACGCCATGTGGGCCCACGTCAGCAGCGACGTGTCGGCCACGTCATCAGCCACGTCAGCAAGAGTTGCCACGTGGTTGCCACGTTCTCAGCCAGGTCACTGCCACGTGGCCAGCCACGTCATCGACACGTGGCCATAGAGCATTGCCACGTCAGCACAGGTGTGCCACGTGTCTGCCACGTCAGCAGTGGTGTTGACCAGTCAACCAGAGGCAGGTAAGGATCCAGTGCTTCGCGGCTAAGGTGCAGCCGCAGTTCTGAGGCGTACAAAATGTTTTGGCTAGATTGAAGCCATTTGGAGTCCGTTTTTGGTGGTCCAATAGTGGTTTCCGACTATTTGGAGTATTCCGGACACATCCGTACGGTCAGATTTTGGAGACGGAGTTTCTGTAAAAATAAGGCAGATTAAAGAGACGAACGGCATCAGGTGCAGTGGACGGAATATTCTGTTGGTACATGGAATATTCCCTGAACTTCTGAAAATTGCAATTTGGCCCAGAATTTTCAGACAATTGTGGTGTGGCCCAACTTTCGGGGATAGTTTTCAGTGAGGTCCCCGAAAATGCAGCAAAGATTGGTTCTAGCTAAACGGACCGCTCCGGACGCAACCGCGAGGTCAGAATAGTGAAATTCTGAACGGTTTGGAAAGATTGTCAAAACATGGGTGTTTGTCATCTTCAATACTCGAAGGAAGGTTGCTGGATATTGTGGAACGCTGCGGATTCACTGAAGAGGTTAGAATGGGCAGATTCTGACCAGATTGGACAACCAGATACAGATTGAGATAGATCATTGAAGACCAGAGGAGATCAGGCTTGATCAAATGGCAAATCAAGGGAGATCAGGATTGGTCAGGGGTGATCAGAGGATTGCAAAGATGATTATCTCCGGAGTTCGTTGGAGGATCTGGTTCAATCAAAAGAGAAGACCATTCATCGACGGATAGATGATTTGACAACCAGTACAGGCTCAGGGAAATACTTTGGCTGTTGGAGCTACTGTATACGAGTAAGTACTGGTGGTACGTGGACGTGTAGAACAATAGTTGTAGAGGAGCATACTAAGCGCAGAAGCACAAATGCAGACGTGCAACAGTGCAAGGGTACGCTAGAGTGTCGTACAGAGGCGCGAGAAGAGTGTGCAGCAACGGGTTGTTGACAGTTCACAGAAACTTCCAGACAGAGAAATTGAGACAGGTAAAACGCAAGAGTGCGTGCCAAGGAGTGGCAAGTCTTATTTCTCTATGGTGGTTTCTTTAGTTCCATGGCAGCAGATAATAGAGTTGATGCAGATCTCTCAAGCAAGCTTGACGCAGGGAGACCAGAAGCCATGGATGCGAGCACTATGCACGGAGTTGCATAGTGATAACTTGTACAGACCGGTGGAAGTTGTCTTGGCAGAAGGGCTAACTGTCAAACATCAGTACGGACGTACAAGTGAGACAGAACCGAACATCAGGGATTGCAGCACAGACAACAAGCGTATGTGGAAACGCCAGGAGGTTGTTCAGAAGTGCAGAATGGCAAAGGCTGGTTGTTCAGAAATAAGCTCCGAGCAAGGAAAATTGAGGATGTTGATGTGTCAAACTCTGAAGTTTTCTAGTTGCTCCCGTGTTCATCATGCAAGGAGTTGCACGGTAATACAAGGGTATCCCGAGCAGGGGGTGCAGGACATCCAATCAGGGGGTGTCGGATATCTTGGTTGCGCAAGTTCAAGCATAGCAGGTATAGACATCCGAGACAGAAGCGTGGAAGAGATCTGTAGGAGATAGGAGCAGAGGCTCTCTCCAAATCATAGAGTGGTGTGAGTTGATTTGAGGATGTAGGATTCCCTCCTCCTCTTATATCTCTGGTGTATTATCTCTAGCTTCAGGGGGTGCAAGCATCTCAGTGAGGAGATGCAGGTACTTCTTTCGGTACCACAGTCGGACCCCATTAAACCCGGCGAGCAATTCATCAAAGCAAAGCTTGTCTGTCTGTCTTTGCTTGTCTCGCAATCAGCCACCACTGTAAAAGTGAATCGAAGATCACTTTACTTTGACACCCAGTGGCTCTCCAAACTTCAATCGCTTCTCGGCAGTTCATCAACGCATTGGATTGTTGTCTGCACTAATTTCAAACATTTGGTAAGGAACCATATGAAAAAAAATTGGTAAACACAGCTTTATTGCTTGTGTGTTTTGTTTTTCTTCTTCTTCTTTTTGTGTTTCTTATGGGACGACTAATAGTTGGATTTGGATTTGGATTTGAATAGTTAAAACGAATTGAATGCTTTTGAACTTTTTAATTTAGAGCACTGAAACAAACTGTATGTTGTTGCATTTATGATGTTCGATAAAATGCCTGATTGAGACATTGGGCTAACTTGAACTTGCTTCGATCTTTTCTTTGTTCCCATTCACTTTGATATTCTTGTATAATCATTGGCGAACTTGAATTAAGTACTGGGTTAGGGAAGAAGATGTACAATGATCAACTTGGGAATTGGGTTTCAAAGTTTTTGAACTTTAGTCAGTCTTTGGTCCTTGTTATGGACAACATCAGTTTAAAAAATTGCATAGTGATTAGAAAAGTTATCCATATATGATATACATCATTTCGTTTTACTCCTACGAAGTAGATACGTAAATTAAATTCTACCCCATGACATGTATATAATATACTTGAAAAGAAACATTTCTGCATATTCATTCATATGATTTACTTATCGAAGAGACATGATTTATGATAAAGGGTTAATTACACCAAGACTCCAACTATTAATGAATATCACTTTACCTCTTATATATAAACCCATACATTTTGAAAACTGTAAAAATGGCCCCTTCTGGAGGGTGGAACCATGGAAGTGATTCATTTCATAGTTGAAGGGATCAACCAATAGTTAAGAGGGTCTTGGTGTAATTAACTCTTTCATAAATGGCACAAAACCCATTGGAGCATTACTGCTTGAACATTGAATCTCTTGCAAGGTTTCAAAACTTGGTATGAGTATGCTTAAGATGAATTCATCATGTGGTAGGACAGAAATGGACAGTATCCGACAGGAAAAGGTGCAGAGATTTGAGGAATTTGTAGATCATCGCTTAAAACCAGACCTTGTTCATGCTATTGCTGAAAGGTACATTTTCCAAATTTTCTATTTTTTTGGTTATTACTGATCGTCCACCCTCTATTGAACTGGCAAGGAGAGTTAGAGTATCTTCTTTTCCTAGTCTAGTTTTTAAACCCCTTTATACCATGATTCATGACACATGAAATTGCATCATTTGTCTTACTACCTTTTGATGAAAATAACCAATTATGCTCTCTGTGGTTTCTATTAGTAAAATTTTGTTGCTGCTATTTGAAATTAATTATGGGTACATGTTGGTTAGTGTCGTCCCAAGTGGAAGCTCATTAGTTGGAATGATTTTGTTTTTTAGTTGTATGAATGGACAAGCTTTCATCTTGGGCCAGAAATCTAGCCCCTTGTCTTACTCTCTCACGTTGACCAGTTTCTTTGTGGATGTTTTCTGTAATAAAGTTGGGTTTGGTTTTGCTTATGGCTGGTAATCGCTGCTTCTTTAGAAGTGTCGATGGATCGTCAATTCGATTGAGAAGGGTATTAAAGATGTACTTGCTTATTTTAGAAGTACCGATGGCCATCAATTGAGTAGGGTATCGAAGATGTACTTTGGATGGGTAGCGCATGTTTTTATGTGTATGTATGGAGAATTGCTTCATGTCTTGTGAGATATTCTAAAAATCCAAGTGGCAGTAGTCCTTTAGCACAAGTTTAACATTTTGTTACAGGACACGTTTGGACTTTTAGATTTCTGCTCAAAGTTGGTTGATCCACTAGCTTTTTGTGGAAATGCGATAAGTAATGAAGTAATGATAGCACTACAAGAAATTTCTCTTTTGGCGACAAAAATTTTAGTCACCAAAAGCCTTATTTTAGTCGCCAATTACTTTTGGCGACTACTATATTTGGTTGCCAGTTTAGTCGCCAATAGTTTGTCGGGGAAGACAATGGCAACTAAAATTTTTTTGGTAGCCAAAAAAGCCCTATCGGCGACTAAAACTAGTCGCCATATATTTTTTAAAAATAACTAAATATATATATTTTTTACTGTTAGGGGCTAAATTATTTAGTAGCTAATTGAACATGTATGTTTGGCAACTAACTATTTGGGAGCCAAAAAATTCACTTTTTGAGAATTGGTAACTAAAAATTTAGTAGTCAAAAGTTTCACTTTTTGACAATTGGTGACTAAAATTTTAGTAGCCAAAAGCCAACCTGTGATATTTGTTTGGTCACCAAATGGTCTCATTTAGTTTTTGTAATTTGTTCTGTAATATTTTTTGCGCCACCTGTAACCTGTCCATATGTAAAATTATTCATCCATTCATTCATTCTTTCAATCAATTCTCAACCATTCAATAAAAATATTTCTCCACAGCCTGTGGCATTCAATTTTCAACCATATACAAAACTTAACTATTAACCGTACATATCAAAGAAAATAAGAATCCATAAACATAGTTTAATCCAACAAATACATATACTATCCAAACCAACAATTAAAATCCAAATTAAAAAAAATCTTAATAACAAAACATATCAGGTGTACATGTTTTCCATAAATAAAAATATAATGTAAATTGTGCCCATGCAAACATCATCAATCTGGCCCAAAACATCACGGTATTCATGCCAACATCATCAATCTGTAACCAAAACTAGTGAGGTAACTAATCAAAAATGCAGAGCTTGATTTTTGTTCAAACAGAATATGGTTCAATTTATTTAACAAGTAATTTAGCTTATGGAGAAGGAAAAATTAGATAACTAACTCAGTTGAAATATTATAAGCTACAAAATTATATGAAATGACTTGAATTTCTTTGTTTACTCCAATTTGCAAACTCACACTAAAAGGGGCATCTGTGTTAGCATACATTGATCATTTGTTTATTAAATTATCATGTTCATTAGAAAGAACACTCGGTGAAGTTAGCATATTCACTATGTTTCAGCAAAAAAAAAAAAAGGAGCTTACACAAGCACAGGAATAAGTAGCAACATTGTAGTGTGGTTCCAAGAAGTGTGAGGACATGCAACAGGGAAAATCAATTCACACTGATGAAATTTAAGACAATAGCATTTTTATTTGTTGGGCCAAATCGGAAGCTCCAATTTTGTACATGTAAATGTGCTACGTGAACTATGCGGACTAAATGCATGTTTTGTGTGCTTCCATCAGTTAATTGTCTGCATATAACACATTCTTCCCTGTTTAGACTGTACAAAAATATCAGACTTCATCTTACCTTTATAGAAAATGTTCTGGGAATATAGAGTAGTCATCATTAGATGAATACCAAAAATCCTCTTATCCAAAACTGAAAACTAGTAAGACATGTTTCTTTGCTGCCAATAAACAAGATGGCTGAACCTTCAGTTTGACATTTAGCCAACAATACAGCAGCTTTAGGCATCATAGCATCCAGCACTAGAAAATAGATAGAGATTTTTAGGTAATCAATTGACTAAGATGTCTGTGTTGTACCAACAATACCTCACTGGTGCTTCATTGTTTGGATGCCCCATTTCATAGGAAACCAAATCTAGTTTTCATTGTTCATTTTAGAAGCCAAACTACGACAATTAACACCCTCTAAATGTAGACTAGATTCAAACTGGACATGTGCAATATTATTTCTGAATTTCAAAAAATAAAGAAAAAAATGTGTCATCAAATAGTTTCAGGAGGTAGATCCATCTAGCCCAGTAAACCATAAAAGCACCTCAAAGGAGCAAAAGAAGAGGCTAACCTCACCAATTCCCATAAAGGCACGCATGACAAGCAAGAAAGGAAGCCCAACTCTGGCAGCAATAGGCATCAAAACTGTTGCAACTGACCACCAGATCACTCCAAAAACCAACACTAGTTTCCCACCAATTTTATCTGCCCAGATACCTCCAACAATCTATTTGCCAAAGAAACGTAAGGAAAATCCAGTTAAGAATTGTTCATCTTGGTCAAGAATTGTTCAATATAATAGAACTGCCTTGCAAGTTGCAACTACTTAGGAGGAGAGGAAATATTCACAGTGAAAGCTAAAAACCAGCAGCAAAGTTTAAAGTGCCATAGAAAGAAACCATGTTAAATTTGAAAAACATCATATTTCAGATATAATAATAAATTATGAGAGAAAACTAGACCATAACTTATTCTGTCCATGTTGCATAACAGAAATGCAGAAAAACATAGCAGTACTATCACCCAGCGCTTTGGAAACTGCTCCCACCAAGATTTTATTTGCTCCACCCCTTCCACTAAAACAGTTTCACTTGACCCCTCCGATGACACAAATGGGCCTGCCTCTGTTCCAGTAATGTCGTACTCATCAGATTTGTAGCTAACACAGGTCATATTTACTTTTACATGCTTTGACAACTGGTGTTTCCTGTTATTGATCCCAAACTTATCCAGATTTCTTGGTTGAACCCACTTGTTGCAAGAGGGAGATGAAGCAAGACAACATTCACTTATTCCTTTGATCTAGGATTAATGCTCATAGTTTTACCATTTGAATGACCAATTAGTCGAAGAGATGGACTAAATGAGTATCTAAATAAAGAAAAACTTCCCCTTTGAACATATAAATTTTTGTAGAACATGTTTGTATGCACATTCTGTCCAGGAGCAAAGCCCAACCAGTCTCCACACTGATGTGCTGTAGTTTGTTCTTTTTGATATATTTTTCCTGCCAATATAAGTATTACCATATGAAAAATGCTAAGTTGAGTTGAACCTAATTTAATTATAGGAGAATTACAAATGACAAAACATAAAAATCAATTGAATACATATCTGATGCAATTTACTCCTCCCTATATTCTGAAAGAATTCACATATTCTCCAAAATTACACTAGGTTTGTCAGATTTCTTGGTCATTACTGGTCAGCCAACCTTACTATTCATCAAATCATCCAAAGTTCCAACAATTTACCAGTAGCAAGTAGTTCCCTAATCATTAATCACCAAATGCAAGATAGCATGCAACTGAGCACATGATAAAGTGTGTGCCAGAATTTGTTGCGCTAGTGTTTCACAAGACACAAGCATCATGAGATCCATAAAGCAAGTTTAGCATAAGCATACATGGATATGCATTGTCAGTCAGATCACATTTAAAACCAATCCCAATACATGGTAAGCAATCTTTCAATGGCCAAATTTTAACCAGCTTTCCTAATAAGTAATCTGAATATGAAATATATATATATATATATATAACTACAGAAAACACTATTAAATTGGATGACAATTTCAAATTTTTACCAATTTCAATTGGTTATAGTTTCATGTATAACTAGCAAATCTTAAAACCTCCAGAAGTCCATTACAAATCAGCTCCAAAAATGCAACAATGAAAACAGGACTGCATATACGGTGTGTTGTTAACAAACCACATTTAGGCAAAGATACACACTCATTCTAATATCTAAACTATCAAAGACCAGGGGATTGGTCTAGTGGATGAGGTGTGCTACCTTATTAGTTGTGATGTCTGAATTCAGGTCTTACTGTTACACTATGCAACTTCCCCTTCCCTATTTCCCTCTCCTACTGATTGTAAATAAATAAATAAATAAAAATATCTAAACCATCTTCAATTACTTAAATAAAACCCACAGTTTATCCGCTTGCAACGACAAGTATGTCCAAATTTCAGGAGTGAATTTTTTTTTTTCTTTAACTGACAACAAAATGTAACCCTATCACCTCCCATTTAAGTAGGGCTGAGCAAACAAATCAAAAAAAAAATCGTAAACGAGTCCCATTCAGTCCAAACCCCCACTATTTGGTTTGGTTTTCTCAATACAAAGTTCGGTACTGTTCTTAAAATAGGTACACCGTATTTCACAACTTGATTTGTAGTTTTATAATTATGGTTCCAATTTGCAACCAAACCAGACCATTTACATATATACATATATTGCTTGATCGTTGAACAAGTTGTGATTATGATATAAAATGATGACAAAATTGTTGAAAACCATGTTTCCAAGACTGAAAAGAACCGTATTTTCATGGTTCGGTTTGGTTCCAAATTTTATAAAATGGTAAGTGATGATTTGGTCTTGGTTACTCCAAAACCGAACCAAATCGAACCATGCTCATCCCTACATTTAAGTGCCTAGCTCGTTCACACTTTTACCATGGGTTTGGCTGATCATCGGTTGCTATATCAATCCAATTCAATCAATTTAATCAATTTTTTTCATAATGTAGCAATTACCATACACAACTCACACTCCAAAAAACAATAATATTAAATATAGCGTTAATAATATTTTCTACTCAACAGACACAAAATCGAGACATGTTCAAATATCAAATTAAAAAAATTAAGAATTAAAAATTAAAATTGAGCTCAGACAAGCAAGTTTGAGTAAATACATTGGATTATGCACATATATTGTGGATTTATATACAGATATACAAGAATTGGGAAGGGAAATCCATACCTGAATTGATGAAATAAGCGAAATTCCGATTGGAAAGAACAGAACCGATTGTCATTGTTTCGTTCAACAACGATTGTTAACACACTCTGATGTGATGCCTCCAGAACCTCAAGCTATTCCACCATCTCTCTCTCTCTCTCTCTCTCTCTCTCCAAGTGGATAATGGAATGGGGATGTGTTTGATATGAATTTTGTGCCAAGTTTTTTTCTTCTGTTTTTCAAAAGAGGGAAAAAAATCCCAATGGCATTGGTCGGAGATGGGTGCTCGTGTGCGACAGTGGCTGGTCGGAGATGGGTGCTCCTTGCGACGGTGGCGGGCAGCTCTCCATGGAATGAGAGAAAGAGAGATGAGAGAGGATGAGAGAGAAGAGTGAGAGCATGAGATATTTTATATTGATGGTTATTGGCGACTAAAATTTTTTAGTCGCTGAAAGTATTTTATAAATCCCTCCAAAATATTTGAAATGTCTCCCTCCAAAAATTTAAGTTCTTTGGTGACTAAAATTCCTTTTTGTCGCCGAAAATAAACTTTCCATTCGGCGACTAAATGGTTTTAGTAACCAAAACTCAATATAAGGAGACTAAAAATTTTTTTTGTCGCCAATAACCAATATACCCCAACTAAAACGAATTAGTAGCTAAATATTTTACTTTTGCCAACTAAAAAAATTTTTTGTCGCCAATTCCACAACTTTTTTAGTCTCCAATTTTGATCGCCGAAAGTGCACTTTGTTGTAGTGTAGGATGTGTTGCCTGATCTAGAAAGGGGATAATTCTCTGTCACTTTATTGAGTTGAGACTTGAGAAGTGGCTAAAGCATTTAGTTTTGAATATTGCATGAATCCCCCTAACTTTTTTTTGTGTGTTTTGCAGGGACAAAGTCTTTGAAAAACAAAAAGTATTGTATCCTTCTTCTGCCCCCTTTTTATGTCATGTTTCTTGAAATGTATAGCTTTTTCTTTTGATTTAACCGAGTTGCTTGTATACTTTTGAAGTGATTTTCTTTTATTGTAGGCATTCCTAAACTTTGAAATTTTGAACCAACATTGACAATTTTTGTTTGTATCTTTTTTTTACTTAACTCTTGAACTTGTAGCTCAGATTTGAGAAAGAGCATAGAAAATTTAGAGAAGAATAGTGTAACCAGTCTCAGGACATTGGTCAATCTCGGTTCTGAAGTGTACATGCAAGCTGATGTGTAAGTCTTTCATATCATCATATCTTTTCTAATTATACTTGATGTGCATAATATTCTAGTGCTGCATGTGTGTTCATATTATGTATCTTGTTGTGTTACATGAAAATTCTATATCTTGCTGTGGTATATGAAAATTCTATAACCTCAAATTCTGTAGTTTGGTTCTTTTGTTGTTTGTTATTCAGTCAACTGCTACTTTTCCTTACTATTAATATGGGACTAACTTGCCACAATGATGGGTTATATACTTTGTCTTAGAGCAATAATTATGTTAGGTGAACCATTTACCTGTGGTCAATGGGCAACCCTAATCCTAAGATTCCATCTAATGATGGAAGTGCTTTACGTTTTGTAAGTTGTTGCACCAAAAGTTTTATATTTCAGTTCTATTTTTTTAAAATTTATTTCCATCTCACCATTTTGTGAGAAATTTGTTTTGCTAAGAAACGTGAACATGGACAAGTTCTGACAAGACACTTTTTAAAAAAATATAGGACACGACTTGTATATGGTTTATATATTTATTATATATCGTAAAGATGAATATTTTATTCAGTCAAAGTTAATAAAAATATGCAATATAACATGAATTTCTAGAGTTTTAAGGATTGATTGATTAATATTTGTAAGTCTACTTGTCTTTCATTTAGCAATAAATCTTTTTTTTTTTTTTTTTTTTTTTATTTTTTTTTTTTTTTATGTGCGTCTAAAATGATAGACATGTGTGTCCCAGAAGTGTTCAAAGCTTGTCCAAGTTCAATATTTTTGAAAAATATATGGGCATGTCTGGAAGTGTCCAATGAATATCGATATCCAACACTTGTCAGACATAGACATGTCAAGCCACCTTAGTAGAAGTGTCTGTGCTTCTTAGGCTATTAGTAATTGTAAAAGCATCTATACTTTAACTTAATGTCAATTTTATTTAATTAATTATTTATTTTTTGCGGGGTTGTCTTCATATCTATAGGCCAGATACAAGGCGTATATTTGTAGATGTTGGACTTGGATTTCATGTGGAGTTCACCTGGTCTGAAGCTCTAAATTATATAATTGCAAGGGAAGAAAAGCTAGCCAGGTAATTTCCCATGTGGCCATATTTTTATGCTTTTTACCAATTGATCGAAATTGCTTGTTGAAAGTTTTTTATTTATATATATATATATATTTCTATTCCTTTTTATTTTTAAGTATAATGACTGGGACCCAGGATGCATGGGTGAAGATATGGGTAACAACAAAATTGCATGCTGGAAAGAAATTAATTTACAGAACAATTTGAAGTTGTTTGAGATTATTTAGAGTACCATCTCATGGTCTTTAGGAGTAGTTCCTTATGGACAAGTTCCACTTTCTCATATATCAAGTCTCTGTAATCACTACAAAGAATAGCTTATTCTGTTGACTGAACAGCAGAGCTTTTGAATGTGGAACTGAATGTGTCGTTTCAATATAGTTTGAGAGTTCAAATCCATCTTTATTATACTTTGTTCCTATTACTACAACCAGGAGATAATGTGGTTGAATCCAGAACTTATAGATCCATCTAGCATCTCCCTTTTTCTATCTCCAACCCACTCTCCATTGGGCTTTCCAGTTTTAGCTATGAACATAATGGTTCCTCAAGTTTGAGGGGTAAAGGTTTCTGATTTCACTTGCTTATTTGGTTTTGTCTCCCTCCCATAATTGAAATCTAAGTAGCATGGATACGGACACACAACATGAATTCGTGGACACAATAATTTTTAAAAGTTATGGGATATGACACGTTGGGAAAATGGGCAGAATATATAGTTTTATACATGTATTATATGTTTAAAGATCATAAAAAAATACAACATAATACTAATTCTCAACGTCTAAAGGAGGGGAGCTTAATATGTATAATTTTTCATAGCTTTTATTTCATCATTAGATTTCAAATTATTTTCTTTATACTTGTAATATGTTTCATTTGTGTCTAAGTGACAAACATGTGTCTCCCAATTGTGTTACACGTGTTGAGAAGTGTCTAATATGTTTCCGATAGGGACATGGTAATGTCTTAGAAGTTATGGCGCATGGGTACTTTAAAAATATTGCTTTATGGGTACTAGGTACTTACCTAATTCAAATACATGTACAAATATGGCTACATGTGTATGAGGTACACAAAATCTTAAGGTACGGCTTGGCTATGGGACCTGTATGATATGGGTACGACTCAGATATTACATGGGTTTGTTTTGGGTACTTTGTGGCATAAATGTAATTTTAAAATGTAAAGGTACTGAAACAATTATATTGTGTCTATTTTTAGAAACTTCTGAAAATTATAAACTATTTTTATAGTTATTAAAAATATAAAAAATACTTAGAACTCTTTTTTTGACTATTATAAAAAAAAAAACTTTGATTATTTTTTGCATTCGAGTTTTTAACTGTTATATACTACAAATAATAAAAATATTCTTTTTATGGACTTTTAAATATCTCGATGGCTGCTCTATCTCCAACTACCTCGAGTTGTTCTTTTTCCTTCATGGCGCAACTTCCATGCCACGTGGCCCAGTCAGCTGTTTCCAATTTAAGGTACAAACAACAATGTAAAGTAAAATGCCAATCTAGAAAGTTGCCCTTCATGGATATTTCTTGATCAGTATGTCAGGGATCAGTAAGACACTTGCCTACCTCATGAAAGAGGAAATGTCTTTATTCTTTCACTTTCTTCTTTTGTTTGTTTGTTTCTTTCTTTCTTTCTTTCTTTCTTTCTTTTAGGAATAGGATCCCTACCAGTGCAGAATCTAGACTAGTGGGCGCTGTTTGGACAGTAAAGTTCACCACAGGTTCCATTTTGATGATCCAAATCATTTATTTTGTCGGACACTTTGTTTATGTCATTCACAAAAAAAATTAGGTCAATCTGATTACTGTAAATTATTCAATTTATTTTGTTTGTCACTAAAAAATTATAGGGTGAATTACACTAACAGACCCTATAGTTTGGAACTTGTGTCACTTTGATCTCTGACTTTTCAATTGTGACACATTTGACTTTGAATTTTGAATCTTATTCCAAATAAATTGAAGATATAATTGCTCAATTTCAATGGCAAAATCGTCAATTTGATAAAATATGAATTAATTTGACAAAAATAAATGTCATTTGAATTTTTAAAAATTTCCATCCACTAAAGATAAAATTATGTAAAATTGATAAATTTTTTAGACATTTATTTATTTATTTATTTATTTTATCAAATTAATTTTTATTTTGTGTTTGGATGATGATCATGTAATGGGTGGTTGTTAAGATTTTAATGTATAATCGATATATTTACTATATGAAATGTTTTTAGTTTTGAATTTTTGGATTTAATAGATTGGTTTAATAATGATATCAAAATTATTGTTATATTTGACTTTTGAAAAAATATAAACTGATTTAATGAAAATAAAAATAACCACTCATTACAAGATCATTATCCAAAATTTGGTTTAAAAATATAAATGTCCAAAAAATTTATTAATTTTACATAATTTTATCTTTAATAGGTAGAATAATTTTTAAAAATTTAAAAATATTTTTTAACATTTATTTTTGTTAAATTAGTTTATATTTTATCAAATTGATAACTTTGTCTTTGAAATTGAGTAATGGTATCTTCAATTGCCCTTATTTGGAAAAAGATTCAAAATTCAAGGTCAAATGTATTACAATTAAAAAGTCGAGGACTAAAGTGACTTAAGGCCCAAACTATAGGGACCGTTAGTGTAATTTGTCCAAAAATATATGATTTATTTTTAAAAACACAATTGTTTATTTTTTTAGTGAAAAATTGAACAAATTACAATTATCGAATTGACCTAATTTTTTGTGTGAATGGAATACACGAAGTGTTCAACAAAATGAACGGTTCGGATAATCGAAACGGGACTTGTGGTGAGCCCCACGAACCTAAACAGCAAGCTTCAATCTAAAATCTAGACCGGAGAGCATCCTTCTCATCCTTTTTAGTATGTGTTTAACTGCTTGGTTATTGTAAATGAGGTCCGGTTCTTTTGTTTGGTTCTTGGTATGATACATATGTAAATTGATTATCACTAGATACTGCTCTTTCAGGCAAATAGAGGAGTACACACGCCTAATTGCATCAATCAAAGCCCAGATTAAGATGGTATATTAATTGTGATTTATATTTAATCTAGCTTTATCTTCCCTTCCCCGCCCCTTATCTATTTCAAAACATTTGAAAACACACTTCATTTATTGGATCGATGTAGGTTTGTGAAGGGATACGAGAATTACTCCAACTTCCAGGAGAGGGGTCTTACTAAATGACAGTTCTCAAATTTTGTATAACTCAGTTCCTGCTGCTAAATTGCTAGCGTATCTACACAATGAAGATAGAGAGGAGAAAACAAGGACAGACAAATGAGGTTTGTTATGGACCTGCATTTCTGTGGTGTTTCTATAAATAGAAGATGGTATTGCTATCACAAAGGTGTCAATATTGTGAAGTTGATGGATTATACTTTTGTGGAAGCAGAAAAAGATTAATTCTAGTATGAAATGCATTTAAATTCAACAGTTGATGGCTTGTGTCATTGGTGTTGACAATCTATTGTCATGTTTGATTCCCGAATTGAATCAAATGGGAAAACTTATCTTGAGGGAACATTTTAGTCATTTAATTGTAAAAAAGTTATCTTCAGATAAGCTGTATCACCTTCATAAGGCAAAATAATTCTACAAGACACGACTTGAATCGGGTGGGATTGATTGATCTACATCAATAATTTATAATGTGAAAGCAGTAAATAGCAGTATACACATGTTGAGCACATTTACCTCTATATATAGAGCTGTTGCTATATATAACCATCTCCAGCGGAGTGTTAAAGACACTGCCAATGTCGTTTTTGCTAGATTTCCTCAAATTTACACTCTAGTGGTCTGTCAAAAGACTTGCCAAATTAAGGCTAACATCAGTTATCATTTAATGTTTGTTAAGATGTTCTCCAATATCCTAACAAAAAGTATTTGAGTCATACAATTTCAATCATTAATATCAAATTGGGCCGCCCTGCGAGATGAAATCAAAAAAAAGAAGAATGAAGAGAATGAAGATTGTGTTGTTAAGTCGGAGATTCAACTAAGTAAAGCATGTCGGAAATCTTATGCTTTGGCAATGCTATAATCCACACATCACCAAATTCAACTGTAATCTTTCGCTCTCATTTGGTTTTCTCAACAAAATCATACAATTACATACTCAAAAAAATACCAAAATATTTCACTAAAAACACAGACCCAACTTGGAAAAATTTCATAAAATTGACCAAAAACAAATCACAAACCATGAAAACTTGTATTAGCGAAAAAAATTCGTGAAATCACATCGGAAATGCCCCAAAATTCCCCAATGTCCCAAAATAGGCAGGACCCATTTTCCAACACCTCCAAGGCCATCCAAGATTCACTTGTTCAGCAGAGATTGATGTATGAAGAATGAGATCAAGATCCTGGTGTACTTCAAGTTTCTCTGAATCATTAAACAAAATACAATCCAGAGTAACAAACTCAACCCAAAGGATCAAACTCAATATGAAATGGTGGACCACCAAAACTCCATTATACAACTACAATCTTGAGAGAGAAAGCCAGAGAGAGAAAGAGAGAGTACACCATGTTCATCGGCAATAAGACTACATACCAACACAGAGAGTCTGTGAGATCACGAGAGAGATATGAAGATACAGACCCTAGGGTTTGGGGATAAAAGAGGGGAGACTAGAGTTTTCGGTGAGAGATAGAATAGAGAAAAAAATAGATATATTCATGTTTGGTTGAATGGAGAAATGAAGAAATAAAAGAGGCTATAACACTTGTTTAGATGGAGGGGTGTGGTGGGAAAATAAAATAAAAAAAATAACGAAATCTGTCACTTGTTTGGATGATTAAGTGAGAAATTGTGAGAGATGGTGAGAAAAAAATCTCACTAACACTGTATTTGGTTTGGAGATTTGGGAATGGATTTGAAAAGAGAAAGGGAAAAAATGTGTGAAACTAAGTGAAATATAGGTATATTTTATTCACATTTCACCTACCTTTTCTTTTTCCTTTTTCAAATCCCTTCGCAAATTCTTCAACCAAAACACAGCGTAAAGCTGTGTTTTGTTTCTCACCAAAAGTGTTGAAATTTGGTAAGAAAAGAAATGAGTTTAATGAAACTTTTCTAAAATATCAAAATTATCTTATGGTGGAAAAAACTGAAAAAATAACTTATTAATGTGGAAAGTTATTTTAATAAAATAAAATAAAATAAGATATTTTCTTTTCTTTTTCTTATTGACTATATCTAAATAAGATAAGTAAGAAATCACATTATCTTCTCTTTAATTCATCCAAACACAATAATGAAAAATCATAATCACTTCCATTCTTTTTCTCACTACTACAAATCATTCCCCCCCCCCCTTCCCCCTCCCTTTTTTTTCACCTCAGGATCCAAAAGTTTATGTATTAAACACCCAACTGTCAAAAATTAAGCAATCGAACAATATTTCCAGGCCTTATCGAAAACTAGCATTTGCACTATTGTGATAATGTTATTTCTACATTGTAAATATCAGATTGTGAGTTTAACATTATCACACATCATTAGCATAAATTTAGGAGTTTTTTCTTAAAGATTTTTAAGAATTTTTATGAACAGTAAGATTCTTCAATTTAAAGCTATTTTTTAAGAAACAAGGAACAAGTGCCATAAAAGATGCGTAGTGTTGAAGGGTACCAAAAAACCTCTCACCAAACTGAGAAGATATTTGATAGTTTTGAAGGAATAATCCACCAAAAATGTTGGAGATCCTAAAAATTCTACTAAAAGTTCTATTAAACGTCTCACATGATATGAGACCCACATTATGTAGGTCCCACACCTATGTGAGACATTTGGTAAAATCTTTGGAGCCTCTAGCATTACTCATAATCCACACTATTCATATTTATACTTGTCCAATTATCTTTTAAAAGACTAGTAGTTATTTGAGATGTACTATATAAATGTACTTTTTTACTTTTTAATTAAAAAAATAGAGAAAAAAATATGTATATTTGGGATAACTTTTTGACTTTTTACGAAAAGATATGTAATAAAATATTGTAGTAAAATCAAAATGACCATTTTATCCTTTTGACTTTTTGACTTTTTGGGTAGTTGAATTTAAAGGGTAAAATAATAGTATAGACTTTTTAAGTTTTTTAAGTAACTTTTCAACTTTTTAATTTTTTTAGTTTATCCCAAAATGATAGATTTACTATTTAAATTAATAAAAATCAAATTAAAATATCATTACATATATTTGCTCCAGTACTATTACATCATGTTTGGCAACTGGGATCTTGATTAAAATAGTTAATAAAGACACACAAAAAATGACCAAAATAACTAATAAGACAAAATGTCACATCTTACACTTCAATCAATCATTTTTTCTTTCACAACCATCTATTCAACTAAAAGAAATCCGCAATTCATCCCAAACACAATTTTTTTTCATCTCATAAAATAGTTAGAAAGTTAAAAAAATAATTAAAATAGCCAAATTCTCAAACGATGCCATAATTTATTTCACCAAATACAATCACATCAGACACAACGACACCATTACAGCTGATAGAGTCCTTTGAGACGATCATAAGAATCCTAAAATAGCATGGAAATTAGAATATTACACTTCATGGTTTCGAGTTTTTAACAGTTTTGATTCCTATTTTAATAGTTTTGGTATTTTTTTAAATATTTTAATTTTTTCTTTACTTTTTATATGCACTTAATCTTGATATATACTTAAAAAATATATAATTTGTACAAATGTTTTTATAAAATTCATTAAATAGAACAAAATATAAAAATGTACCAAATTTTTGTATTTTTGTATATTTTTTGTATTTGATGAATTTTTTTAAAAAAAAATCACAAATATTATACTTTTTAAGTATACCTAAATTAGGTGTATCTAAAAATAAAAATAAAGTTACATAAAAATTAAAAAAATATGACTAAAAAATAAAAAATAATAAGGAAAACAAAAAAGGGATATTTACCAATAAATCCCATCTCACAAATAGTTTTACCGATTGGTCCTAAGGTTATTTCTATTGTTCTGATTAGTCCTATTAGTGGGGGAATATCTTATCAGTTGATCCTATTTCCTTTGTTTGGTAATATTGAGTGGTCAATTATACCCTTCCTTTTCTCGTTTTACGATTTTGGTAGGATTACTTCCAAACATTTGGTAATTGAAATATTGTCGTACAAGACATTCACATCATTGCGTTAGGGTTTTTGGGGCTGCTGTTACGTTGGGGGATGTTCAAGGTGTGTGATTGTGTGACGCAACAATGGAGATTTCTGAATCGGCCGTGTTTGCATTTTGTGTGTGTAGTAGATGCTTAGTGTATTTGTTTGTCAGTTGTGTACTATGTCACACATTCCAATTGCATAACATGACAAATGGAGTTCATTCAATTTGCAGTGGGTGTGGCACAATTGTGTGTGTCACGTGACATATATCATTCCAAGGCAAAAAGCATAAAGAGCCTTAGTGCACTTTCTTGATGTGTGGCATCAAAATCACGCGCGTAATGTGGCACGTCATAACAATCTACCAACACCTAAACCATAGAGGGTTTTGTCAACAGGGTTATGTGTGTCACATGGAAAACATGCCCCCACAGTAAGAAAGCACAAAAAGCTTTAGCGAACTTTCTAATGTTGTGGCACCCAGCGATCATGCTGAATGTGACACGTGGCAAATACCAATTTGGAAAACACACCAACATGTGGCTGTGCCATACCACACCATCACCTATTCAAGCGTTCAGAGAAATATGTAGTGGTATTTGCGTCATTCAGTAATAGAAAGGACCAAATAGATCAAAAGAAAAAAAGTTGGGACTAAATGGAGCACAATTTCAACATTTAGGATTTATTGGTAACTTTCCCAACAAAAAACTCAGGTCGTTTAATTTGGTTTTCAGAATCAATTTTGAAAAATAACTTTTTAAAAAGAGTTGACAAAATTTAAAAACTTGTTTAGTTGTATGTTCTAAAAATAATTTTTAAAATTTTGAAAATTCAAAACTTGTTTGCTTTTCAAATTCTTAAATAATTTTTAAAACTCTGTTTGATTTTGAAATTTTTAAAAATAGTTTTTGATTTTTAATTTATATTTGTAGTGAACTTTTTAAATATTTTAACCAATGTTTTTTAGTTTTTGGATCCACTCAATCTAAATATATTTAAAACGTATAAAATTTATGAATTTTTTTTTTGAAAATATTAAATACTAACAAATATATAGAAATATGTATATATATTTTTATTTTTTTTAAAGTTTTTAGATCAACCCAATCTAAATACACTCAAAACATATAAAATTTATGAAAAATTCTTGAACTCAAAAACCTTTCCAAAATCCAAACTGGGCTCAATTTTTTAGAAAAGTGAGTTAAAACTGTCTTAGATATATATATATACACTAGCAGTCTGTACATGCGATGCCTATACAACTTGAAAAAAAATAATATTATAAGAATAATGACAAAAAAAAAAAGATTAATATTAAAGGCAAGATGTGATCTAACACACTGTACATGTATTTTTTGTCACTTAAGTAAAGTGGTCTTGTTATATAGATATGTCAATATATATAAAATAAATTAGTGAACTCAAATTTCAATCTGAAACAGAAAACAAAAGGGATTTATAGGAAATGAAAACAAAACAAACAAGCAAGCAACAAGAGAAATGCGAGAGTTGAAGTT